AAATGTGTGCTCAACTGAGATGATTACAGTATAAGTCATGCATTTCACAATGAGATCATGTTGGCTAAATCTGTTTTGTGTTTCTTCATCCAGTGCTCTAGCATGACTTAAGATACTGGCGTCTGTTCAGACATGACATGTTCATAGTGAACCCCTCGAGAGGGAACACACCCGCGAGGGGCGGAGCAAGGACTAATTAACACCAGACTACCTTGATTCTGAACGCTAACATACTGTACAACTCTTTCGTTTTAATAGTATTCCTCTTCTTTGGGATTTGATAAGATGAATTAGTTGGTCATTCTGTATGTATTTTTGTTTCTCTATTCTATTCTATTGATGTATTTTTGCTTTTCTATTCTATTCTATTCTATTTCATCGTATTTAGTGATGCACCGATGTGAAAATTGTGGCTGATACCGATAACCGATATTAATATTGCTGTTAATGGCTGATACCGATATTTACCGATGTCGATATCTCAGTATAGAAAACCCATAGCGAGGATTAGGGCTGCACGATATTGGTAAAAAATGACATTGCGATATAAAAACAATTTCACCGGATGACTTGAATAGCTCTATTTGGAAAGAATGAATCATTCTAGAATGACTGGGGTGGTTTTGTCATGGAGTAAATCCGCATAGAAACTAATATTAATAGAATGTTAACTAATGTAGTTAACTAGACTTTAATAAATGGAACCTTATTGTAAAGTTTTTCCGATTTATGTCTCTTGAGTTCAGTGTTGGACAGATCAGTTGTTTTAACCATTCATTAAAGTGAATTGGTTCAAAGGAGTCATTAGTTCGCGAATCGGACGTGTCATTAACGGACGACGGCACACGTTGTGTGATTATCCAGGCAGTTTAGGACATCGCACAAGATTTGTCTCAACACAGAAAACATTTCATCACTAGATAGATTTTTATTTTATTTTATTGAAAGTGTGGTTTATGTCATCTGAATGTGTGGAAAGCTTTTCAGAGAAGATAAGGCAACGTTGTTTTAGCACAATTCGGTCTTCCACCCTTTTACCATCGTGTTTTACCAAAGATATTGAGGGAGGGTCGGGAGAGAGAGCAAGACAGTTTGAAGACGGCGAGAGTGCGCGCGACCGGGGCTTTCACTCTCTCTGCTCGTTCTCTCAGTCAAACAAGCGCAGCAGTCAGTCATCTACATCACTCTCCTACATCACTCACCGGTCAAATAAGGCTTTGGCGGGACAAAAATACGCCTTAGTAAGGCTGACAGAAAACAGCGCGCAAGTTCCAGTCTTCTTGCGCTTGATGTTTAAACTGACAGGACTTGCGTAATGTATGCGCTTGTGCAAAAACAAACATCCCCGCCCCCACACTCACATCTACACACCATAGACGTCAAATACACAGGAATGATTATCGGCCTGTTCACATCGGCCCTATTTTGACATCGGAACGATACCGATGTGTAAAAAATTGACCATATCGGCCGATGTTATATCGGCGGCGATATATCGTGCACCTAGGGTTGCCACCTTTGATTTGTGAAAAACCGGGACACTTTGAGGGGGGGGGGGTCAACCAGGGGCGTCAACCAGGGGCGTTTCCAGCTTTGAAGGACATCAAAAAAGAGAACAATCCCGGGAAAACCGGGACGGGTGGCAACCCTACGTGCACCACTAATCGTATTATTTCATATAAAACAACATGTATTTCCATGCAGGTTCAGGGTAATTTATGCTGATTCAGGTTAGTGCTGATTTGTAAATGGTTGATGCTGGTTAGTGTTGTTTTGGCTGGTTTAGTGCTGGTTAATACTGGTCCGATGCTTATCTAACTGGTGCTAACCAGCCTAACGATTTTGTTCACTAGAGAAACAGAACAGGTGAAATTGATTAAATATCATGATTGATTAAACTAGTAAAGCAACAGGTTCTTGCTGGTTTGAGTTTGTAAGCTATTGTGATTTTGCTGGTTTGTTCTGTTTTGGGGTTAAGAAGTACTGGTTTGGTGCTGGTTATGTCTGGTTAGTGCTGGTCAGGGGTGCGTTTCCCGAAAGCATTGTTAGCCAACTATGGTCGCAAGTTCCGTCGTTACCAATAGAGTTCAATGGGATTTGCGACCAACGTGCGGCCAAAGTTGGCTAACGATGCTTTCGGGAAACGCACCCCAGGCTAGTGGATGAGTAAAGCTACACTGTCCCACAACAGAACAGCATGGTGTTCCTTGTCAAGCTGGTTGACTTTCTGGTTAAAGCAATAAAGCAGAAGGTTCTTGCTGGTTAAGCTGGTCAGCTAATGGTTTTTGTTTTTCTGGTTTAGAAGTTTGGTGGATGGTTTATGTTGGTTAGTGCTGGGTTATTAGAGTTGAGTAGTACTGGTTTGGTGCTGGTCTAGCTGGTGGACAAGAAAAGCCAATGGTGTCCAACAGCAAAAAAAAAAAAAAAAAAAAAAAAAAACTTGTCAAGATTAAGCAATCTTGTGAATCTTGTAAGCTTGTGATTTTGCAGGTTTAGATGTTTGGTGGTTGTTTTATGCTGGCCCATTCTGATTTAGGGTTAATACTGGATTGGCACTGGATAGTGGATACGCACAGCAAAACATTATAGTTGTCCTCGTCAAGTTTGTTGACTTTCTTGTTAAATGAGTAAAGCAGAATGTTCTTGCTGGTTAAGCTGGTCAGCTAATGTGATTTTACTGGTTAAGAACGTTGGTGGTTGGTTTATGCTGGTTAGTGCTAATCTGGAGCTGGTTTATTCTGGTTTAGAGTTGAGTAGTACTGGTTTGGTGCTGGTTATGGCTGGTCAGTGCTGGTCTAGGTGGACAATCAAAGCCATTCTGTCCAACAGCAAAAAGAACATGATCTTTCTGGTCAAGCTAAAGCAACAGGTTCTTGCTGGTTGACTTTGTCAGCTATTGTGATTTTGTTGGTTTAGAAGTTTGCTGGTTGGTTTATGCTGGTCCATGGTAGGTTTAGGGATAAGTAGTACTGGATTGGTGCTGGTTAAATCTGGTTAGTGCTGGTCAAGCTGGTGAACGAGCAAAGTCTGTCCAGCAGCAAATCATTATGGTTGGTCTTCCTTGTCAAGCTTGTTGACATTCTGGTTAAATCAGTAAAGCAGAAAGTTGTGATTTTGCTGGTACAGAATGCTGGATAAGAGACGAGAGATCTTTTGACTTTGTTGACTTTTTATAAAATATCATCCTCTCCCTCATTTACCTCAGAGAATAAATGAATGAACATGTAATTTCAGTCTGCTGAATTAAATGACTCAGTTGAATGGATGAATGAGTGAGTGAATTGGTTGGTCTCAAGAGGAAGTCGTACAAAATTTGAATTCGAAATCAACCGCCCCATTGCGTATTGTGTTTTTGTGTGTGACGGGGGCCTGGAGATGGAGGGAAACGGAATAATGATAGAGGGGATTGAACATGTTTCTTGATCTCTTTTCAACTAGTATCACTGTGAAATGTCAAATTTGAATTGATTGAAAAGAAAATTACAGCTGTATTATGGGATGTCGTGGGGGGAGGGGTGTTGTTGCCACAGAAACTAGACCACTGCTTCTCAAAGTGCTGTTCTCAGCTAATGAGTAAGCAAAGGGTTCATGCTGAATTGTCCCAAAAAGACACTGAAGTCACACTTAAAAATGCCTGAGTGGAACTGCATTAAATAAGAAAATACTAACCCAAATGGCATTTATTTTAAAGAATAAGTATGCTTATTAAGCAGAACATTTACCAGATATTTTTTTGTAGTTTAGTCAGGGAAGATGGAATATGTAATTTGACATGCAATGAGCTGTGAGGGATAGACGTACAGTCTGTTCAATGGGTTGTAATTGTATTGTTTTGAGGTTTGAGGTCACGTTTAGACATAGTTAAAGACATTTTATGTTTAGACATTTGAACAGACTGTGCTTTTGTACCGGACAGCCTTGTCAAATTATGTAAATAAATATGGCATCTAAGATTGATATATTATATAAGGCTGTTAAATATTTACTAATTAGTCACAATGATTTTTGCTGGCCAAATAAAATAATGCAGGATTCTGAATATTGTGATGATGGATGACTTTTTGGGTCAGTGAGGTTTTTTTGAAGGAAATTAATATTCATCAAGGACTCATTAAATTGATAAAAAGTGAATTAAAGATTCCTATTTCAAATAAATGCTGTTCTTTCGAACTTCCAATTCAGTAAAGAATCCAGAATTTTTTTTATCATGCAGTTTCCACAAAAATATGAAGCAGCACAACTGTCTTCAACATTAATAATAAAAAGAAATCAGCATATTAGAATGATTTCTGAAGGATCATGTGACACTGAAGACTGATGCTGAAAATTCAGCTTTGATCACAGGAATAAATTACATTTCAAAAAAATATATTCAAATAGAAAACGGTTTTTACTGTATTTTTAACATTTAAAAAATCTTGCAGACCCCAAACTTTTGAATGGTAGTGTATATTGTATATTAAATAAGAAGATTATTGTTTATTAAAACAAAACGTTACCTGTTTACACTCTACTACAAGGACACCTGTGTGATCTTAAGAAGACTTGATCTGGTGTGCTTAGTGGTTTTTAGTCTTTTTTTGGACATTTTTAGTGGATTTATGAAAAAAAAGTGTAGCGTTTGAGCAGTTTTGTATCGAAAGCAGTGACATTCAGACATTTTGAAGTGTAGCATCAGTGTTGAAATACGTACCGAGGCTGCTGTGCACATCCGAGGTGCACCAGCCTCAGTTTGGAAACAGTTAGAGGAATTTTAACCCTTTCTTTCCTTGCGTCTGCTCGCCACAGATGTCGCACACACACACACACACACCCTCGTGCACAGCCGCCGTGCCCCCAGCAGCCTCCCTCCATTGAGAAAGTTAACAGTTTGTTTTTCACAGGGCTGAATGCTTCACTGCACACATTACCGAAGCCCCTTCATCTCCCCCTTTACTCATCCGTGAGAGGCTGACTAAAATGATTTCTCTCTCTCTCTCTCTCTCTTGTCTGTTCGTAAGGATTCTGTTAAACAGATCTGAAGTCTATCGGATGCGCTCCTCTGGAATGAGCCCATGCTGACACCTTACTCCTGGTGAGTAGTACACTCTTTCTTTTTTTCTTCTTCTAATCTATCCATCCGTGGTAAAACCTATCCACTTCCTGTGACTCTTTTCATCTTGTTGCACTGTGCTTTCCCTGCTTCTTTTTGTCCTGGAAGCAATTTTGCCCACATGTCTTCCCTCCCCTCGTGTCCTCCCGTATCTTTTCCAATTTCTTCCTCTCTCCGCTCCATCCCGTCTTCCGTCTCTCTCTCTGTCCCCTCCCTCTCTCCGTGTCTTTGTTGAGGTATTCTGATAAACAGTTTGGCCGTCATCTCCAGACCTCCCCCATTGTGTGTCCAATTCTCTTTGTTCTTTCAGCCTGTGGCGCTGGCCTCTGAGTGTGTGTGTGTGTGTGTGTGTGTGATTGACCACTTCAAGTGCATCTGTGTTTGTCTGAATAGATGGAGCTATATGCAAGAATTTAGCCGTTTTGTCCATATTGTCACTGACTGATTGTTTGATTCTTTTTGTCTGGCTGTCTCCCCTCTTCTGTCTATTTCAGTTCATTTAAATTCTGTTAAATTTCATTTGTTAATCACTTTTTGTTGTCCTTCCAGTCTATTTTTGTCATTTCAGTGTAATAAAATTAGTCTTTTTTGTCATGACAATTAATTTTGTTGTTCCATTCTGTCTATATTTCTCTTTCAACTAATTTCAAATCAGTTTCATTTTAAATGTTCATTGTTTTTTTTTATTTAATCATATTCATGTTTTTAAATATGTAACTTTGTGGTCTGTAAGATTTAAAAAAGATAAAAGATTTAAATTAAATTAAATTGATTAAAAGTGACATTAAAGACATTTATAATGCTATAAAAGATTTCTATTTCATATAAATGCTGTTCTTTTGAACTTTCTATTCAGCAAAAAAAAATCCTGAAAAAAAATGCATCAAGGTTTTCCACAAAAATATGAAGCACCACAACTGTTTTCAACATTGATAATAACCAGAAATGTTTCTTGAGCAGCAAATCTGCATATTAGAATGATTTCTGAAGGATCATGTGACACTGAAGACTGGAGTAATGATGCTGAAAATTCAGCTTTGATCACAGGAATAAATTACATTTTAAAATAGATTACAATAGAAAACGGGTATTTTATTTATAATAATATATCACAATTGCTTTTTATTAAATGCAGCCTTGGTGAGCATGAGAGATTTTTTCCAAAAACATTAAACAATCTTACCGACCCCATGAACAATAGTGTATATATACATGTACTTTTAATATATATATATATATATATATAAAAAATATAATTTTTTACAGCATTTATTAATGATCATTTGATAAATGATACTATTCTTTACAATTTATAAATTCTTCAAGGGCACTTCATGTGATTTATTAACTAATGTTAACCTATACAACATTTAATGTTAGGAAGTTAACTATTGGCATATGTGGAAATTAACATTAACCAAGTTAAATGCTGTAAAAGTTATGTTCATTGTTGGATTAAACTGACTATTGCACTAACATGTTTTTATAGAAGAGTTTGGAAATTCTTTTTTGTTTTGAAATGCTATAAATATAAATAAGTGGCTGTAGGATTTATTTCATAGCACAGAATTAATTGCTAAAAGAAAAACTAAACAACCATGATAATGAAAATGCATGGATCTGCAAGTTCATGTCGTCCATTATTCAGGGCCAGCCTACGATGTGCAAGGATCTAGGGACAAATATGCAAATATCATACAGCTGTGAGCAGTGATTTTAGTTTCGAGCTCCTGAAGTTAATTTAAACCTTCTTTTTCCATTTTATATCGGTTTAATACACCGATTCGTAATGCACTGTTTAGACAGATGCTTCTGTCACGAATCTCACGTTGTTAACGGCACAACGAGAACGAGAGATGGACAGAGAAAGGGAGAGTGAGAGAATGAGTGAAACGTGAATGGCGTGAGGATGGACACAATAAAAGGCCGGTCTTGTTGCGGCGCTGTTTAAGATTCTGCCCGGTGTCGGGTCCGTGGTCAGGGCTGAGTGAAAGTGTGCTCGCTCACAGCGCCTGTAAAGCTCAACGGACTTCATTCACGTGCTAAAGAGCCTCTGCTTTGGCAGATAGTTGGCCGGTCTCACAGAGAAGGCTTTCACGCAGAGACAGTGAAGGAGTGGAAGGTTTTGGGGGGGAAAAATAGCAAACAAGGACACATCTGAAAAGGCAAACACTTTCAGAGATGCAACAAATATCCGTGGAACTGCTTGATTGGAACTGCTAATTCCCAGCTTGGATCAGTCTGTACGTGTATCTCAGGTTGGCGTTGGCTCTTGGCCGGTAAAGGTTGCTGGCCCGTCTTAGTGCCCTAACTAGGGTAGCACACGGACCTCCAGCTGCGTGAATGGGAATAGAGTTCATTTGGGGTCTCTTTTTGGGGATAAAGGTTTTGATTGTGTGACCCCTTTCAGCGCTTAGAAGAAATGTTGGGGATTGATGGTGGCCGGGCTCCCATGGGCAAAAACTACATGTTCTCTATAGGGCATGTTTGTTGAGGCGTTTTCTTTAAATCAGTCAGACAAACTAGCGTAAATTGCATGCACTCTGCAAAAGATTAATTTTAAGTCAAGTGCATCTGCATATTTGAAGGCAGTTTTTTTGTTTTCTGTCATGTTGACGACACTTTACACCAGTAATCACAGGCTACGCATGGACTTCATTCATGACATGCAAGCAGAATGAATTATAGGGAAATTGTTGCACTGAATGGATAATTACAATTTACGCAAGCATGGTTTCACAGGTGAATTATACAGGAAACTGTGCTTGCATTTCATGAACGAGGCTGTAGATGCATTGGTTATCATTCTTCTAACAACATGGTCTTGCAAATTTTTTAAAAGGGCCATTGTTTTCTACGCAAACAAGCGCTAGACGGACATTTTTGACCGTTTCACTCGCGTCTCGCAACAGAGAGCCGCATGTTTAGAAAGCCATGTAAAGTTAAAAGAAGTTGAACTTTTAAAAGACATGTCTCGAGACTTTTTGAGGGGTTTCCCATTCCATTGCATCTCATCATATTTTTAAATGCAAAAAAATACTCTGTGTGATCGGCACTCTTTATATTAAACTATGCTTACTGTAAATACAAGATGCTGTTTTGTATGGAAGCTTGTTTCTGCCACAGAATAAAAGATTTTAAAAGATAATTGCGACTTTTTATCTCACAATTGCGAGTTTACATCTAGCAATTCTGACTTTACTTCTCAGAATTGAGAGTTATAAAGTCACAATTACGAGATATAAACTCAAAATTTTGACCTTTTTCCTCGCAATTGCAAGTTTATATCCCACAATTCTGACTTTATAACTCGCAATGGCGACTTTATATCACGCAATTCAGAGATAAAAAGTCAGAATTGTGAGATAAAAAGTCGCAATTACCTTTTTTATTTTTTATTCTGTGGCGGAAACAAGCTTCCATAATTTTGTTCATAATTGTTTATGCGATTTACAAAATTCGATTTGATTTATAGACATTATTTTTAACGTTATGCACTTTTTTTGGTACAGACAGTCATGTTATTTCATTGCTTTGAATAAACAGTTTAATGAGGTACCGTAGTACGGAGCCCCTAAAGGGACGTGGTGGTGGAAAAATTTTTAGGATGGGAGAATTTTTTTTTTTCCAAATCTTTTGCGTTCCCCCGAGAAACTTTGCATTCCCTAGCAAAACTTTTGCGTTCCCTCGCAAAACCTGTTGGCAGCTCGGACAGACACTTCCTGTTTAATGTCCCGCTGGCAGTGTTTCAGAGCTCCGTACGTTAATGGAGCGTTTCATAGTGTTTGAACTTGGACTCTAATATAAAGAAATGCGGTCAGTGAAGTTGGCAATATAGCCTATAGGCTACACATGGGCTATTCGAACTTCCCGGATCAATATTCTTGAGCTAAACGTTGTTAAAACACAGACGACGATCTATTTACAATAGGTGTCGTCTGTGTTTTAACAACGAAGAATATTGATCCGGGAAGTTCGAATAGCCTATGTGAATATATTGCCAACTTCACTGAACTCCTAGCACTGACCGCATTTCTTTATATTTGAGTCCAAGTTCAAACACTATGAAACGCTCCATTAACGTACGGAGCTCTGAAACACTGCCAGCGGGACATTAAACAGGAAGTGTCGGTCCGAGCTGCCAACAGGCTTTTCGAGGGAACGCAAAAAAAAAATTCTCCCATCCTAAATTTTTTCCACCACCACGTCCCTTTAGGGGCTCCGTACTACAGTACTTGTGGCCTCTAAAGACAAGCCAAAAGCTTTTTCCTCCTAACTGAAATGATGCCTTTTAAAATCGCATATAATTTGAATATTAGTAATATTTAAAGGACAACTCCGGTGCAAAATGAACCTCGGGTGTAATAACACATTGGTACAGACTAAATCGTTCCCTGAGATTTGTTTTCATGATAATCGAATGTAAAGAGTTTTATCTCTAAAAACAGTTTAGCTTATAACGCTAGTATATTGGGCATCGAGTAAGCAAAAAGAGATCGCTAGTTAATACCATTAACAAGGCTCAAATTAGCCCCACACTAACACGGCAGCATAATGAGTGTCCTTACATGCAAATCGAAGCATTGAGAACTTTGTAAGTGTACAGACAGTTTAATAAGAAGATACTTTACACAGACAGTACAGCTAGCGCATACAGACAGGACCCATCTTGGAAAACAGGCTAGATCAGTCAAACCACGAACACGGTGATACGTGAGCTGAACTGTGACTTGGAATCTCATGTGGTCCGTTGTTTCCGGAAGAAAGCACTGAGCGCATAAGAGAAGCACTGAACGCAACAGAGAAAATAAAAAAATAAATATAATTTATCTTATCTTCAATATCTACACGTACTGTTCGCTCACCTTCGTGGTTCGATTGATCGAGACTGTTTTCCAAGATGGCTGCTGTCTGTATGCGCTAACTGTACTGTCTGTGTAAAGTATCTTCTTATTAAACTGTCTATAAACTTACAAAGTTCT